TCACGAAGACTAACATGAATATTACTTATTTTCTGCAAGACACTACGTCAAGCCCTTTTTCAGAAAAGTGAAATATAACTCGTGAATAAAGTGTTCTTAATTTGAAAATGAACTTGTGGTTGTTAAGAGACCAATAATTTCTTGCCTTGCAGCAGCCAGGAACAGGATTGGTAAAATTTTATTCTTCAAAATATTCAGACCTCCTACTTTTTTAAAAAAATGTATTCAAATTTTTGCGGGTTACTTCAAAAAAATAATTCTGAAATTACCTGGTTTTTTCATCGGCTCGACAGGTACTACTCCAGAAATGGAAACTTGTAACAAACTGCTATTTGGACTACATTTTGCAATTTGGAACTGCAATTTCTGGCTCATCAGTAAAAAAACTTACGTGCATAGGGAAACTAATGGTACATACGTTGTTTCTAACCTGAACCAGAAATTATAGTTTCAAATTGCCAACTGCAGTCCATTTGGTGTACTTAAAGTCAAACTTTCTTATACCTACTTAAGGATTCAAGATGATATAAAATGCCTGATTTGGCAAAATCGATGATGAAAGTTACGGTGCAAATTTGGGCAATGTACAGAGTAAAAAAAAAAACTATCTCAGAGATTTCCACAGGAAGAGAGAAAAACGACTCACTGATGGCTCAGTTACCAGGAAATGTAAGTGAAACATGTTACATAATGTATCAACAAGTATGAAAGCAGTCTTACCTTTTGATGGGTAGGTGGAGATAGTGTTGGATCAAATTACTTCCAGGATATTCTTTCATGGCTTCACTGGGTGGGAGAGGGAAAGCGGCTGATGACCGCTACTGCTAACCTAGATCATCAGTCTCTCTAGTGAATGATGGTGGCCACACTCTCGTCTCAAAACCAGGTGAGCCCAGCATCAATTGGTATTCATTTGCTTTTTTGTACGGGTCTTCTCTTGATAGTCCACACATCTGGGAAGTTAATTGATAATTTTTCATTATTTAATTATAAGAAGATGCCTCGAATGAGACAGATATGGAAAAATCTGGAAGATTCTTCCTGACTTTTTCAATGTCAGTCCTTAAGGAAATTTAGGATTTCAAGGGCACAAAGTTTATGCACTCGGAATGTTTGAAGGGTCACAGCATGATTGGGGAAATACTTGAAAGTACTGCAGCCTGTTCAGGCAAGGTCGGTGGTTACAAGAGAAAAATAAAACGAAGAAATAAAATGTAACAGAAAAAAAAAAAAAAAAAAAAAAAAAAAAAAAAAAAAATTCACTGAAACAATTATTACTTAAGAGCAGAAGATAAGCTATGATGATTTCAGCCTCTGTGAGATACATACGCATTAAGAGATTATGAATTCATGGAATCACTTTTCTTGTATTTTCACTATTTTAATTGTCCACTACTAGGTGTAGGACTGAAAGTGATGTCAATGAGGATTGGTAATTTTTATCACTATTTTTCTCTCCACTCCCGTATGTCTCGACCAATAATAATTTAGAAAATTTGATAGTTAGCCAAGAGGCTATAGACAGTCCTCATTACACAGCGTATGCTTGTGTTGGGCAAAAAATCTTCAAGGGTTCAAGTATCTCTTACATAGACTTTGCTACCTAAAATACTTCAACAGTAAAACTGCATCTGCAGCAGTATCTTGGTTTACGCTGTCGCAGATGTCTTGTCATACTTTATTTTCTACATAGCGAACTATTCGACGTAATTTCTTGGAAACTTCAGAAATTTTTTTTCTCTATGTGAGGAATATTTTGTAAAAATTTTGGTTTATTCTTTTTTGATAAAATAAAATAGGAGTGGAGCTACAGAAATGCCAGAAACGAGAAAATGATGACCAAAGTGCAAAACCACGTACTTCTGTTTGCAACGTAGCAGACTTCCTGACATACTACATTTTTTCTCTGAAAAATTATTCGTCATACTTCTTGAAAACTCCCTTGATTATTCTTCTCGATTAGCAGAATATTCTGTAAAAATTTTGAGATATACAATTGGCTTGCTCCTCTTCAAAAAAATAAAATAGGTGTGGGAAATTTTTAAAGACAGCAATGGAGATACACATTTTTGAACTTTGCAGGTCATCAAAATGCGCTTCACTATTAGTTTATGACTGTTAACTGGTGCAACTAACAGCCCCTTTTTACTGTAGAGTAGTCACGGAGAAGAGGAACCATTAAAGTATACTTTCTTGACTGTCTTTATATTTAACACGGAGGAGTCCAGTTAAAGATTAAAGTTCAGGAATTTCTTCAAAAGTTTGATTCAAATTCAAGTTGAAGGTTTGTACGGCTCTGAAATGTCTTCCTTCACTTTGTCTTTCACTGTTGTATAGCACTCAGTCAAAAAATTTATAAACTCGTTTTACATCCTTTCAGCTTTTAAACACGCTGGTAGAAAAGAGTGATTTACTTTCTTGGATCAAAGGCAAGTTCATTGGACACCATTTGAGGGAAATTTCGATGAGGCAAGTAGAGAGACATGATAAGATAGACGACTGCTGGATTATACTTTATGATAAAATTTATGATATAACATTCTTCATAAATAAGGTAAGAGTTAGAAATTAAGCCTCAAGTCTTCATCCTACTGCTCTTAAAGAGAATTGACCAAATCAATTATTTGGTCAATTCACTTATTTTGCAGCGGAAATTTTAGGGCTAGAGATGGGAGGATCATGGTTTTTTATAAAAGGAAGTGTTCATAGGATCTAGAACAGATGCAAAGAGGTGAGGGGGATAATTTTTCAATATTAAATACAACCATATGAGCTTGATGTAATCACCTTGTCAGACAAGTTTATTAGGATTGCAGACTGGAGAAGAGCTCCCGCTGAGTTGGGAGGCTTGCTTACTTACATATGATAGAATAAAAAGGCAGCATTGCATGCTCTTTGTATTCATTGATTTAAAACCGTCCTTAATTGAATCATGTAAAACATATGTGAAAGTCTTCCTTAATGTTGGGGAATTTTAAGGAACAACTATCAACTATGAAATACTCGAATCAGGTAATCAAAGAGATTTGAATCAAAGCAAATTTCTTTCTTTGCTTGCATTTTAAGCCAAATCCAAATTTATGAGAAAGAATCCACCTCTGCAGGCATATTTCAAAGTTTGATAACTAGCTTTGCTCAGATGCATAAATTATTACAAACAAATTTTTTACAGAGCAAATAATGATCTAAACTGATGATATTTGGCACAAGAACACACTACAGAACTGCTTGAGATGTGGATTAACTGAACTGGATTTAACTTAAAATGTTTGGTGTGCAACGAAGTTGACATTACCAGTGGACAGGATCAAGATTGTTTTCCTATAGAGAGCTCAAAGAGAAAATGTCTCAGAGAAATTTGAAAATTTAATTGAGTAACATTTTTCTTGCAGTCATGTTAGAATGTTAATGTAATTTATTTGTTTTGTTTCATAATGCTCAAGCATCCAGGAGGTGCTGAAGTGATGTTGGAGTATGCAGGCCGTGATGCTACGTTTGCTTTTGAGAGTATTGGACATGATCTTGACGTTTTAAAAAAAATTCAGCAGAATCTCATCGGCCAGTTACCGAAGGATGAACGTATCTTTTTAAGCAAAGATGAATTAAGACCTCGGATAGTATAACTGATTTTGAAGAGAGACTGGCTGTGAAAATTAAGATCTAAAGGAGGGATGGAAAAACACATTACTACTCAGACTCGTTCAGAGTGACATTTTTTCAAGCTATAAGTTGACTGCCTTCTTTAATTAAGTAACGCTATCGAGTGCTGATAGAATTGAAAGTTAACATTGATGGAGAGAAGTGTTTTCTTGTTGTACTGCCATTATTGTAATTGGCTTCTGTCTTTAGCACTTTAGCAGACCTAATCAAGAGACATCCGAGTTTGAAATCGTCGAGGAATTCTTGTCAAAATTTAGAAAATTACGTCTGGAAAGTTTCAAAAACCACTTAACAACCCCCCAAAAAATGGAAAAATGGCAAAGGTTTTTGAAACACAGGGTTACATTATTTTATTTAACATTGGGTCTCCATGTTTAAGAATGGAATTTTTCAGCAGAATAAAACATGTCCAGTCCCACTGTTAAAGGCTTGTTCCTCAAAAGTTAGCTGTATTACAAGCGATGCTCTTCAACTGTGACATTTATCAGGCTGTTGAAAATGTGTCACTTCACCTAAGAGGAGGCATTTTACATCTGGCATGCATCAATGCTTTAGAGAATTGATTGAATTTTTCCTATAAAAAAACTAGTTTCGAGGAAAAAACTTTAAGTTGGTAAAAAATCCTAATGTGATGGATTTCTTTGGCGAATGTTCCGAATTCAGGGTTACAAAATACCCCTAGCCCTTATATCACCTGTGAACTTGCTGTAAATTTACAGACTTCAATAACTATCCTAATTTTTTTCGATCTAGTCACCGATATTTTCCATTGAATGTTCGTGTCTTAAGTATCGTACGCGTCTGTACGTATCCTTCACTAAAGAGAGGAAATCTGAGAAAGAAAAAGTTTGGATAGGAAGAGGAAAATCTCATTGTAAAAAAATGTATTCTTCCTGATCATTAATGCACAAAATTTTTTTTCAATAGTTGAATTTAGCAAATGAAGAGTAGTTTTATGGCAAAAGGTTCTAGATTTATTACAAAGCTCTTTACTGCCATTAAAAAAATGAGAATCAAAATTCAGTGTACAATTAAAAGTAAAGAAAAAAAATGACGCTAAAAATACACCATTTTTATATAAATAAATGTGTGTTTTTACCAATAAATTGTGTTTTGATTCAACTACGTACCATAAAGCTATTTTTCTTACTTAAAGTTGATTTAATAAATTTGAGATGAATATTATAGTAAATTAAACATTGCGGAAACTTGAACATTGATTAAAAAGATGATGAAAAACGCCTTGACAGTTTTTTTTTTTGGCGACAAAAAAAATTCCGAAAGCAACGAATTTAAGAGTTGAATATATGCTGATCAAGCCAAAAACAGGGTGTGTACCAGCTGGAAAAAACCAGAATCGAGGATATTTGGGGACTTTTTTCATGAAAATTGGGGACATTTTTACCACATTAGACGAGAGTAAAGCCGCGAGAGAAAGCGACATAAAATGACATATAGATAAACTCGACACTGAGCTCCCGAGGTTTCGGACCCGTCCAGCGAGGGTTTAGATTTCTGCCGCCTCGCGTGCAACCGTAGCACTGCGAAAATTTGAAATTTTCGGCAGACGATTTTTGTCAGTTTTTGGGGACCTAAACATGAAAATCGGGGTCATTCAAGGAGATCGGGGACACCTTTTGAGAATCGGGGACAATCGGGAACTTTGTGGACTTTGGGAGACCGGTAGACACCCTGAAAAATTTTACATAATTTGTGCAAAATTAACACATCATGAGCACCTCTTTCTTGTCACATTGCTGTCTCCACAGCTTAAATCTTTTTTAGAAAAGTATGAGATTATTAACATTGTTGAGTGGATGTTAATTTCAATTCAGCATTGTTCACCAATCAAGAAAAATTATACATGAAGTTGAAAAAGTAACGAGACATCATCTCTTGCACGTAAGAACTAAACTCGGCTATGCCTGATTCAGTATTTTTTTGACAGGGAACTATCACACAAATTAGTCTGAAAATTTCAGAGTATTTCTTCATAAAAGTAAATAAAAACCGCCGGAAATTCAGAGAAAAGTCATATGATGGCTCTCCTATAAACAAATAGGTGAAAATAAGAAATACTGAAACAACGCAATCGAGATACGTTCCTTCAAGCAGGAAGCAATGAAGTATAATACCTATATCACAGTACTGAGGCTCGAAAATCATCCAAAAATGTACTAGAACATTAAATTTGTTCAATAAATTTGAAGGTGCGGGCACAATAATGCCCCTTCCCGGGGAGGATGCCAAAATAAAAAAAGAATCTGGTCACCAGATACACTAATAATATTTCTTTTCAGAGTGTTATTGGACAAAATGAGGCGGAACCTAAATTATCTGCACTAATTAATTGGGATTGATGTCCTTGGTAAATAAAATATTATTGTTCATATGAAAGAGCAGAACACAGGTGCAGACATGTAAATGAACGAGTAAGACTTTATCATTCCTAGATATCTAGAATCTTAGATATCTAGTCTTAGGAGTAAATTGTGGGACAGAGTGGACTACAGAAAATCGTTTTCAATGCAGATATTGTTATTGACAACTGTGTCCTTTGGTATCATAGAGCACCATTGATAAATACTTGGCAATCTGGCTCTCCGGCCATAAAAGAAGATGAAAATATAAATAAAAGAAGAAAAAAGTAGAAAAATGAGGAAAAAACAGTATGGAAATGGAAAGATCAAAAGAGAAGAAAAAATCCTTTGGCTTTGAAAGGTTGTGGTTCATCTTAATCACAAGTAAAGAAGGTTCTATTGGAATCAAAATCCATAAAAATGTATGTCAAGCACTGGAGCTGATTAAAATAAATTATAACCAATTCCTTATCACAGTTTATAGCTTATTTTATGCTAGACACATTTTTTAAGATGAGTAAATATGACTTTCTTTTTTTAACTACTTAATCGTTTTAAGGTCAATGAACGTAGATTCAATTAAGATCAGGCATGCATAAAAATTTAAAAGTGAAAAAAATAATAATAAAAAAATAAGCATAAGGTACTAACAGGTCTTGGGGTTTTTATGTTCATGTAAACTAAATCTCCTCCTCGGTAGGAAGTAGATGAAGATGTTGACAAATAATCCAATAACATACAAAGCTATAACAGTTGTTTCTTGAGGTAGTGGACACCGTTCAAGAGCATGATTGTTTGATGTGAATACCCCCTGCAAACACATAGAAAATTAGAAATTAGGAGATGGAGTTACCTATGCTAAGAACTGATCCAACAACACAGAGCAATGATTTTATAACATGTATTTAAAATTTACTGCGTCATGGAATAAATACTTCACTTAAATGTTCCATACAAACAGCATGCAATTTTTTCTTCACTGCGGTGACTAAGCAGCTGAGGGAATAACAGATAAAATATTGCAAATCATTACTTGGATTGACACAAACTGTATAAAATGATATTATAGATACAGTAATCCCTTGTTATTTGTGAATTTGTTAATCACAAGTTTCGCATATTTGGAAGTTGGTAATTGCTATTCTCCCTTGCCATTTGCAAGCCCCAGCTTTGCTTATTTCCAGATTGTCAGAAGATTGAGGGTTATAAAAACCAAAGATACATTGCATTGTTGCTCCGTTTTTCATTTGAATGGTGCTCCATTACTAAGGAGTTTCAAATGAATGGAAACAGGTAGATAGTGAGAGGACTTATCTCACAAACAGCAAAAGAACTTCATTCCATTCATTATGCCGTTTTCATTGAGAGTGTAAACCTGCCTGAAAAATTTGACTTCATTGGGAAAGAAAGATAACTAAATGATGTTGAACACTTACCAACATAAAAGTGGGATTATTTTTATTCCTCCAACTAAAAGACGGAACTGTATACTCATGAATTTTGCTTTCAGGGTAAAATCGATAGCAACCGTGATGAGTATGACCAGTTAGAATCACTCTCGGCCGAAGCATCTCTATTAACTGAAAGAGAAGAGGAATCAATGATTCTAGCCAGATGAAGTCATGGCTGCATGATAATCTTTCCTAACACATAAAATACTACAACACTACACAGGCATTCCCATTTTTTTCACTACTTTCACTACTTTTTTTATGAGCTTTGAAAATATTTTGCATTGTAACTAATACGTTATAAGTTATTAGGGTCATGAGCATATTTGAGGACGCAGCTTGATTTTACAAATCTCCTGTTGTATATTGAAGAAGAAAGGAAGATGTAATTGACAACTGGGTTGCTATTTAGAACGAGACTGTTGAAATGACGATTTTAAATCCAAACGGGAGATGTTCTTTACAGGGAAACTGCAGAGTTCTTCTAAGTCCTTTTCTGTTTTCTAAATTATTTTTTCTTTTTGAAATTGTTCTTTCCTTTTTCTAAATTATTCCATGCCCATTTTGTATAATATTTCAGTTACACATACGCTTAAAAAAATTGAAGTGTTTTAAATTGAGGGATGGTGCGGTAACTACAGCGCTGTATTGCAGGGGTGCAGAAAGTACTCAGCTGATAGCGAAGCAAATGTGAAGGCACCTGTGAAGGAGTAAAAAAATGTGGGGGTAGAAGGCATAAAATAACTAAGCACATCGCTTTTTGCAAAAGGAACTGTGTACATCCATCTTTTGTGCAAAGAGAATAGTTAAGTGCACTTTTTAAAGTGGAGAGCAGCACTTCTATGCAAAAGAAATAGTCAAGCTTGCTCTTGCGAAGGAAATAGTGAAGCACGCAAGTCTGATATGGACATCAATGTGAAGTGAAGGCAACCTCAAAAAATGTGAAGGCAAAGAAGTATCTGCACCCCTGTTGAAACGATTCAAAAACTTAAACGATGTTAAATTTTTTCCAGTGGAAAAATAAAGAAGAAACAAACAAAAAAAAAAAAAAAAAAAAAAAAAAAAAAATAGAAGGAACAAAAGTATTGTGTCAACATTTTTGTGATTTTTCTTTTTAAATCATACCAGATAATTTTCAGAGACTTCCTCAAAAAACTGCAGCAGATTTTTAAAAAATCGATTCCAAATAAAACATGGGTGGAATTGAACAACATTGCAATCGCAGATAAATGCGCTTTTTCCCGCATGCAGCCATCAATGTTTGAATTCATTTATGGCAGGCGTAGCGAGATAAATATTGGACCATGAGCGTAGGCATATTGCAGCTAGCTAGATTGAAGGTGTGTCACACTGCGAAGATGACTCGGCTGCTTTCCCTTCCCTGACTTGCACGTCACTTAAGTTACCGCAAAATTAGGACAGCGTGCCATTTTTCTTGACTCTCTGCATGGTTTATATCATAATTTAAGGGTAAATAAATATCTTCAGTGCAACGAGTGTATTGTAAATCACTACTGCAAGTCTTATGTGCTTACCATTTCTGAAGCCTCACGAGACAGACATTCCCAACGTTCTCGAAATTTTTCATTTTTTAAAACAGGAGGGGCAGAATCAATTTCCTGGCAGCTTTCATCAGATTCCCTGTACATGGGAAAATGCTTCCCAAAAGAAAATTGAAGCATGAAAAACAAAGCTTGAGAAAAGTCTTACATCTAGGTGATGATCTTGGTATGTTCTGAAATTTGCCACTGACTTAGTGAAATTATGATGCAAATTAGGAAGTAAAAAGGATGAAGATTTGGCTGGAGATTCAATCAAACGTATTATGTGCAACAGTTAAGAGTTGCGCTCTGATTGCTTTTGAATGGGTATTCAATGAGATTGAAATGAGAAAATTAAAATGATTCTGAACTGTCAGACTTTTACGGTGATAGTCAGCACAACTCTCTTGAAAGTAATATGTGAAATGAGCATGATGCATTTAAAAAATAGGATAGAGTTAAAATAGATCATAGACGAAGGTAAACTGAGATTGCCTTCTCTCAGGGAAGTGTGTAATTGGGCGCAGGAATCTGAGGACAGTGACTTTGATTTAAAAGGGTATAGTTGAATTTAATCCATTAAACAGTCTGTTGCACACAAGAGATACAGCCAAAAGAGTGAACTCTTTTCAGGTGGTAAAATCATGCTAAAATCACAATGGGCACATCAAAGTCTGATGTTCATTTTTCATAAACTTCAACAACTTTTAATACTTGTAAAGTTTGTGTTTAATGTTTTTTTCAGATTTTCCATGTTCCAAAAAAACAAACAATCTCTTAATCTTTTACTCTGATATGATTTCAATTTTATCTAACCGTTCTTTCCTCTTTGTTTATTTGTGTTGCAAAAGAAAAAGCTCTTGGACAACAGAAATCATATCTATGGCTTACGTGTGAAACTGCGTCACGTGTCTCAATTTGCGACTTTGCAAACTTCCTGTCATACTTCATTTTTCCTCTAGAAAACTAGTCAACATAATTCCTCAAAAACTCCTTAGATTAATCTTCTCTATTAGCAGAATATGGTGTATAAAAGCAAGTAATGAAATTGGCTTATTTCTATTTGAAAAAGTAAAGTAGGAAGGGAAATTTTAAAATATCACAGTGGAGAAACGTGGTTTTGCACTTTCCCCATTGATATGTAATTAAAATTTGCAACAATTTGCAAAAATGCTTGTTTCAATAGGTTTGGTTTTTTGCTTCTCCTTGTTGCAAACCACACTTCAAGCTACTAAAAAACTGCCTGCACCAATAGGAAATATGAAAAAAAGTTTAACAAACTCGACGGAAAGGCAACAGACAATCAACACAAGTCCGACAGGCCCATTTCTTATCTGATCTACGAATTTCATTTTCAATTTCTAAACTCTATCTGTATGCCTTTACAAAAACTGATACATGGTTATTCTCATACATGAGCTCACTTGACTAAGTAGCTGAATCAAGAAAACTAAGGTCTACTCAGAAGAATGACAAAATAAAAATTGTAATGACTGACATCGCAATCATCGAATTTTAGCTCTTGCTTGGTTATACTAATGGCACCTGCTACTTACTTACTGTTTGTAATAAAATAGAAAAATAATGGTATCTTCTATATAATGGTTTTTTGGGTAAATAAGGAATCTTAAATGGATTGCATTTAGGCTCATTTGTTGTTAATCATAGAAAATGTTGATGAAATTTAGGGTTCAAAAAGTTTAACTTGATGGACTAATCAGTACCTGCAGAATAATTGGTTTACTGTAGCTGGGTAGCGGTTTTATCCCTTTGCAAACGCCTACTCCTTTGGTGCACCGTAGTTTAGCTGGAAATGAAAAGATGACATCATTAAAAAAAAAAAAATACTATGGCAGTGCGTAGGCATTCATGTAGGTATCTGTATGATAGCCAACTACATAGTGCCACCCTGTGAATGTTCAGGTGGTTGAAATTTCAATAAAATATTACTGTGAGCTGAAAGACCAAATAGTTTGGAAAGATGTACTCAAATTGATTGGTGAATATTCTGACGCATGAGCTCAGCACTTGACTTTTTTTTCCTCGGCTATATTTAAAAAATTAAATGAAATAAAACGGGAAGAACCAGAAAGCTGTGTTGGAAGCAATTGTACTTATATTTTTTTAGGAACGGAAAAATACGTGACAAGAGATGACGGAACCAGACCTTCAATAAATAGGATTCACTGAAAATTTAACTAGCTTTAAGTAGATTTTATGACTTACGAGGACCTCAAAAAATAGAAAGCAAGCTGTAAAATCTCTATAACTTTCTGGAGCCACTGAAAGGAAAGCAAATGATCCCTATGTTGTGGCCTCAAGACTTCCCAAAGCAATTGCAAACAATGATTGTTACAAGCTTGACAGAGCGACTAGGAGAGGAGGAGAGACAACCCGCATAAAACGGATGATGCCAATTTGGCAGCAGCGCAACAAAAAATGGGCGGCCATTAGGATGAGGATAGAGGCAAGGCATTGTTTTGTGAGAGAAAGAAGGGCGGGATACATGCAACTGTAGAGAGAGATTGGTAGGAGCTTTGAAAGAAAATCAGTTTATTTGAAAATGTAAAAATTTGAGGAGTGCAAACCTGCAACAGTTTTAAGATTCTTTTCTGCTTTCTGGCAAATAGAGCAACCATCTCCTTCCATTGCCATTGAATTTATGAGTACAAAATGTACATTGCGTCGGCTTACAAAAGATACTGGCCTTGATTTGAAAGCAGTTGAAAACCTATGTTCCAAGTTAGGAGACATTCTGGAAAAGAAAAAGGAAACAAATTAGATACTGGCTAGAATTAGAGGTACAAGTCTCTCCTTACGATACAGTTCAACAATATTTCCTTACCAAAGGGAAAAAATCACAGTTGATTTAGCATATCATAATGATAGATGAAAGTTTTAGATGAATGAATTATGAAGTTCTTAAAACTCTAAAAAATTAAATTAATAAAGATCTTAACACATGGAGTTGATTGATCAAAAGCTATGAGTCTGGATGAAAAGGATCCACTTACAGTAAATCAATGTCCACTGTTTCATACGACACATGAAGTGGTGACACAATGAATCAAATCATTGCTTTATAATTGGCAATGCATGTTAAATAAATATATCCCTTCGCAGTTAGCTTATAATGTGAACTTCTTTTTTGAAATACATTGATTGTTTTTTTTTTTTAGACACCGATCTTAAAATCTAGTGTTGTCTCAGGAACATTACCTGTAATGAAATCCGATGTCATGATTGCCGGGTACAACAAATAATTCAATTGGTTTTTCAACATTGAAGAGATTGGCAAATCTCTTTAAATAAGCATCAAACTCTGTTTGAGTGGTCCACATTCCTTCATCAAAAATGTCACCTGCAAAGCAATATTCAGTAACTGTTCTTTAATTCGAAAATCAAGGTTGTGTTAGGAGCGTCCTTTTCAGCAAATCTTGTTAGTGGCAAAGGTTGTTGATAGAGAAAATTTGTGGGGGGGGGGGGAGAGAAAAACTTCGACAAATCTTATAAATGCCCTAAAACTTATCAATAATGACTGAAATAGCACCTTAAAATTATCAAATCTAGAATGCGGAGGAGGGGGCCATTGTCTCACACAGGACTGAAAACCGATTACCTAAATAAAGAGAGAATGGACTTGTTATTTCATGCAGGTCTTGGGACTCAAAAGAGCAGCCAACCCTCTCACACCAAATATCCATAAGTAACAGAAGTTGTTGCCAGCCTTCATATTCAGATCAGAAACACAGAAAATAGCCGTTGTTGTTGTTTTCATTTGAATAAAGGAATGACACATGACTGTTTCTTTCTTGATATCATTGGAAAAAACGAAAATTGTGAAAAATAAATTCAATGACTTGTGATAAAAATGTTAGTATACAGATAAAAGCAGGGACGAGTTCTTTAAGACGCTGTGCTGTTGTGTGCAGCCAATAGCAGCGCAATCTCAAGTGAGATCCTTGTAAACTCAGAGGATCCTTATCCCATACTTTGACCCATCCATCGCCTATTCCAAAAAGAGGTTAGGCCAATACTTGAAAAATAAGTAAATATGTGATGTTTTCCGACCCCTTTTGACAATGAAGGGCCCAGCTTTTGATCTATACGAGGGAAAAAACCGATTTAAGAATGACAGATATTTGTCATCTTAGAGATTTTTTGTGGAGTTCAGCATCCAATGATGGCAATTAGTTGAGAGGTTGTAGCACTAATAACTGCTCATGGATTTTAACATTGGCTCTCACAGGAGTCTAGGGTTCTGGAGAACTAGTCCCTGATAATTACAACAGGTGATTTGAAATTATTATTTCCTTTACTCTTTGTTCACAGGAGCATCAGTCAAGATAAGTATAGAAGTAAGAAAGTATAGATTTTCGGGATTATAGATCTGTTCATTCTTTCTGGATCCAGGTACTCTGGTTCCATCTAAAAGTCTCCTTTTTACCGAACCATGAGACAATTCTGAGGAGAAACTGTAAACTTAGGATGAGTATAAAAATTTTTAACTGTAGACAGCATGATACACGGTAAAAAAAGTTTCATACCTAAAATGAAGATGATATCTGGGTTGTGAATAGCAACCGCTGATTGGAAAGATCGATACATTTGCCATTCTCTGAAAATAAAACATATTTTAATTAGGTAATCAACAGGACCTGAGGAGCTGAAAGATTTTCAGCTATTTTTATCTTGAAGCAAGATGCAATTTGATGAAGAAGCTGAGTACCTCAATTTGCAGACACAAGTATAGTTCATGCTGTATGTTAATTTAGTGTAGGAAAATCAGAGATTTTTTTTATTAAGGGTGTTTGATGTGGTTTTTTAAATTATCTGCAAGTATTCTCTTAAAATTTAATACAAAAGTATTGAATAAAGGTGAACTTCCTCTTGTGAAAAAAATAGAGTGGGCAAGGAAATTTTCTGATACTGATACATGGTAAGTTACACAATCTACTTTCTCCACAGGAAATACAGAAAAGAAAAGCCTACAAAGATATCGAAATGCGAAACAGGAAATAAAAGTAAAAATAAAACTTATCCATTGTTAAGTAATACCCTCAAGTTTGTTGTAAATATTGTCACGGTTTTTAGGTCTACATTAAAACTTTCTGTTAACTTTCAAATTGCCAACACAGCATTATCAAATCGACGATGCAACTATTAGACCACGTATCTTGTTTGAGGTGTTTAAAGTCTCTGCTATCATTTTGTTTTTTTTTTTTTGAAGGAGCGTAATTCAATATCATTCCTTGAAGCTTTCACAGAGTTATCTTTGCACAGACAAAAATATCATGGAAGTTTGTAATGATTGATATTGAGCAGTTCTCCATTTAAAAAGTGAATAATGACAGAAAGTTTGAAACAAAGCAAACCGAGATACGTGATCTGGTAGTTTCACTGTCGATATGGGATCATAGTTTGGAAGAGAAGTTCCACTGTCTGTTTTACACTACAAACTGGAGATCGCATTACTATGCCTGATTACTGATTGCCAAAAATGTCTTTTGGGTGTTTTTGTTTCCATGGTAAGAATGAGGACACTGAAAACTTTTTGTGTGTAAGTATTATGAGCCAGGGTTTCCACAATTTCTTGACTGACTTTTTTGGCATTTGTCTGACTCCAAAATTTTTCAATTCTCTGACTTTCATAGGCCTCTGAACAAAACTTTGACTTACAGCTGAACTGTGAACAAAATTTCTATTCTGAAGATTCAAATTATCGAGAAAGATACCGAAGAATTAGTTGCACTCTTTTAAATGACACTGCTTGAAGTTGCAGAACCGGTACACTGTAATCACCAAATTCCCTGAATTTTTCTTTACATTTTCTGACTCTTCCAGGTCCCCTGTAAATTCCTTGAATTTATAAATTTTTGGTACTGCCAGAAAGCCTGTGAACCAAAAGAACTATTCCTTCAACTTACTTTGATCTAAAAATACAAAAACTAACCTCCTTAGTTTATCAAACCAGTGACCCCTGTAGGGCCCTAGTAAATGAGTATCTGCTAAAATCATTGCTCGAAGTTCTTCGACAGTCCCATTTGTAATGATTGATGAATCTTCAAACTCTGGATTGAGAACTGGATATGAGCACTGAAAAAAATAAACAAAATACTTATTTAAGGTACAGTACATAAAATGTGAGAGTTGGGAAGCTTCGGCAGAAGAAGCAATTAATCAGAAATAAGTAAGTTGCAATCCAACTTAATGATTAAGACAGCGATGAGCATGTTATAAACGAGTATCCTACTGAGCGTAAAAGAGTTAAGCGCCTTGTCTGTATAAACTGATTGTTTGAAAAGTAAAATACACATCATGAATTCTTTGAGAGCTATTAGAACTAGGGAAAGGTAAGAATAGACAAAAGTCACATCAGTCTGAATGCATCAATCATCAGTTGGCCCATCAGTTAGCATGTCAGATCAGATTCATTTATTAATAAGTACTTAGAGCAGTAAATAAATTGAAGCCACTACAACAACCTTGCCAAGATATCAAACCTCGTGCGGCATAAGTAGTAAAACATAAAAATTCGTTTATCAATTACGAAAAAGATCTTATCAGGCGGAAAAAAAATATTAATAAAAATGCGTTTGTAAATATCTGTTGAATGGTGCAATTTTTGGATGTGACATTTGTCTATTTTCTTCTTTCCCCAGTTCTATTCATCTTGCGGTTGTACTTTTCATGAACAGCCGCTTGGCACCAACTCCAAGATTAATGTTTCAATATGTGTATAGTACAAACCAATATTTACAATGCAGACAAATCATGATGAGCGTACGGTATTCCCTCTACAAATGTCAAAAGCAACTTTAATATTAGTAGAATCCACGCCAAGTGAATTTACACACTTTTAAACTGCAACAGTAGATTTGCCATCTTGCCTCTTACATTTACTTCACATGTAAAAGTAGCGTCAGACAATTTGCTATCGCAGTCGAGAAGTGAGTAAAATTATTTGGCGCGGACTCTCGTTTTAGAGGGGCATAACCTCATGACACTCTCATAAAGAAAAGATGGGATGGTCCCGGGCTCAAGGTTTTACTGATTAAAGGAAGCTGAAGACTTTGAACAACAAACCTGATATAGTACTAGGTAATAGATTAGAAATTCGCATAGAAATGCCAAAATAAAAATTCCCGTTAAAAACCGCATGAAGGCAAATTTCAAGCGCATGGTCGAAACTACTGTAATTTACAGATGATCGTCTTGATATGAGAGAAAATTGGAGATCGTTGTTGGCCACAAAAAGGATGACTGGAAAAATAACAACTTGAGAATAATTCTTGATAAACTGGATGGATCTGCCGGATTTGCAGTCTTCTGATAAGAAAAGGCAGGGATGTAAACAAAAACCACAATGAGTGAAGAGGGGTAGGGAGGGGTGCACCAATCATGGCTACCACACCATGAAGAAATTGTGCGCACTGTTCAAGTTTTACTTTTGAGGCTTTATTTATCGATATTTTTGGCTAATTAAGGGTTAAAAATTGCTGGACCATTCAAAAAACCATTTTACCTTCCTTACCAAATTTTAAAATGCTTGAAAGATGCTAGCGCAACACTATCTAGGAAATTCGTTTGCAATCTTGATAAGTTGCACATCTAGTGTATTCGAAGATTTAGATTGGCTAAATGATTTGCGCGGTTACGCTTTTCATACTCCAGCATGGTTGTCAGATCATAACCTTATTTTTCTTAAGTGAGTCAAAAGATTTAATTCAATTTCTCCAGGTCATTTGAGTGATCTCTCGTTCATAAAAATTTAATCATCGTGTATCCCTGAAATTTTATGACGCCAAAAACCACGACTGAGGTGTAAATTTACGAAGTCGACGAACTGGCAAACCCTTGCAAATGCCGGCAACCGGCTTTCCCCCTCCAAACGCCCATTTCAGCGAATAGCAAATATCCTCATCCGCTGCTGCCAAGTTATCGAATAATCAGGGGAAACAATTTCTTGCGTCAATTTCAACCGCTCCGACTCAAGGTACTGAACAAATTGAAACAAATCTGTGCGTTTTTAAGAGTTTTATATTTATTTAAAGATTAAAGAGCACCATTCACCTCACAATATCATGAAGCAGATGCACATGAATCACAAATCTTTGATTTTGGCGCGTAGTTTGGCAAATTGTATCTCGTGATCTCAGGGCCATCACCAGGGCCGGAGCCGGCCGGCGCTGGCGCTGGTGCTGCTGGTTTCGTCACGAGCCGGATCATTTCGTGAGCTCTACAAGTGGTTGCGATAAAATTCTCGAGTGAACTCCCGTACTCCTGTCGTAACGCACCTAACGCACACGATTCCTGCGTGTGGCACCGTCTAACCCAGTTGATCTGTAAACTCTACCATCGTGTTTCGCTTCTCGTGCTCACTTACAGTGCAATCATGACCAAGTACCACAAACCAGAGGCCAAAACCGTCCAAGACTTGAAGGACCTCGCTAACAAATTGAGGTTAGACTCCATCGATGCTACGAACAGCTCCAAATCTGGGTAAGTCTCGAATCTCAATCTTCGCTGCAAGTTCTACCTGCATGGCTACCTGATCCACAAAATGAGCATTTTTAACTTTTCTGTCAAATGCATGTGATGTATCATCTCTATTCGACACGTTACGCGTCCTTCAGTGTTTTCCTAGACCGGATTAACCGGAATCCAGATGATCTCTCTCTCTCCTCTCATGATCGAAATGTTCACCCTGTATCATTTGTAAACATCTCTCTAAGTATCTACAAGTAACTCACACAACGCATTCTAGCGTTCTGCGACACTCAAACGCCACATGTGCCTATCCTCCCAGAGGTTATCGGGCAACTGACAACGCAGCATCTCCTCGTCAACGCCCCACCGCGATCCCCTCATGGGGCAGGTCCCTTCAAAGTTACCATAAAACCGTTTCTTTCGACTATGCGCCATACGCCTTTTACCTACGTCCAAGTCCCTCAGACTCGCTGACCTATTACGATGCTTGTGGCACAAATGCCCTCATTTCCGTGCGTATGCAATCCGCACATCTATGGAGCCCGAATAGTTGCGTCCAGACGTACTTACTAATGAAACTTGTGTAGAGTTGGTCGCATTCGACACTGATTGACTGATAACCAAGATGGATTCTTCTCAGCAGTGTCACTATCATGTGGCGTAAGATTTTAATGCAGTCTGTCAAGAACCGCCTGCCTTGGAATACAACAGAAGGGCAAACGTCACAACTCACACGGGACATGGGAAAATAGAGTGGAGGAGGTGGGGAGCAAGAGGGTACCTACCTGCTTCATTCAAGAAAATTTCCGCGAACATCCATCCTTTCATTCACGACGCGACGTCTCACTGTTGCCAAATGGCAACTATAATTTTAATCCACCACTTGAACGAGAGCCCAGCCGTAGGTTGAATTTGTGAAAATCACGTATCTTAACAGTAACATTGTTGTAGAACTCTCGCTTTTGGTTAATTATTTTGAAAGTAGGAGTAGGAGGAGGATATTACTATCTCTCTTGAAATACTCAGATAATTTAGCTCTGGATGCGAACAAAATTGAATGAAAAGCATTCACAGATTTCCCTGCAAATTCGTATTTTATCAAAGGAAACTGGCAACGTCTGAGGGTTCGTGCGTCGTTTTTCCTTTGAACGGCAGTGTATGTCTATTCTCTCCGGCTAATTTGGCACCTGAGCATGAGACTTGCACTTAGTGTCCAATCCGTTTCGGAGGGGTATGGAACAGGCTGAGAGCCTGGGATGGCGCCTCGCTCCGCGGGCTCTTCCCTTGGCGTGTGACCACGTGGAACTGGAAGCGGATATGAACCTCATAGAAATGCCGCGGAAACTGCTTTCCTCCCGTATCTCGTCTGGTGCTTTTTCAGAGGTGATAATGCGCAGAACGGTCACGATCAACCTAACGACGTCATCAATCATGCACATTATGGCTCGAGTCTTGGATCGCGAGAGGACTAGAAAGTTTTGAGCATCAAAAATTGAAAATCAGTGTTTTCAATCCTAGACGAATTTGTTTTTCCCGTGCCCGGCAAATGGTTGTAAAAACGTTTCTCCGTGCACCTAAGTGGAACGATCCTCTTACGAAAGAAATCAAACATTTCTGCTTCGGCTTCTACACTTAGGATTTTCAAGGCAATCGCGCTGAATATTAGCAGTGAACGAACGCCTTCAAGGTCATGCTTCGTAAAAATACTCATTTGACGTTAATAAAAAAGCAGTGGTTCTCCTTTAAGTAGCACATTTCATTTACATGCAGTTATTTTATCGAATGCCACCGTAGATGCATAACAGGGGGCTACGCCCCCTGGCCGCTTCGCGGCTCTCTATTTGTAGCCGCGGCGTCAATAAAATTCATATTTTCATGATAAAATTTGTTCCTCTCCTCGAGGAAGAACACCGTATGAACCCCCAGGCGTTGCCACATTTCCTCTGTTAACATTCTAATTTCCTAGTGAAGTTATGAATATTTTCCTCCTAATTTTTCAGATAATTTTTTTCGCAATTTTACCTTTAGTTGTTGAAAATATCAGGGGAAAACATTCATAACTTCCCTCAAGAATGATCATTTTATCGGAGGAAATTTGGCAAATCGTGAATGTTCATGCGGCGTTTTTCCTTAGCATGGCAGGATGGGTATATATGCTGTTTGGTCGGAATGGTCCTAATGACTGTCGGTTTCGAAAGGTTTGTTCGAGAGCCTCGGGTACTACTTTTCCTTGACGCTAAGTTAGTGGGCGGTCTCAGTTTAGGCCGATTTGCAGGAGAAAAATGAAAGGACTCTACGAACTGAGAAACGGCAAACAGCGCCGGAGGCTGAACTGCATGTTTCGATCAGATCGCCCCTGGAACCGCAACTCGCGGTGCACAAGTGCTAAGTTAAAACGCCGTATGAACATTCGAGAGTTGTCATATCTCCTCCAATAAAAGCTTTACTTTCGAGGAGAGCTACAAGCATTTTCTTTGGAAATTTTCAGATAATTTAGATCCAATGGCGAATAAAATTCTCTGAAAAACTGGAGGAAAAGGGTCCACAGATGTCCCTGAATATTCGTATTTTATCAAAGGAAATTTGGCAACGTCTGAAGGCTCATACAACGTTCTTCCTTAGCACGCGGTGGAATGTAGATAACTATCAGTGGCGAGGCGTGATAATCGACAATCGATATTTTCCCTTTTGAAACTATAGTAAAGAATCGATCGTTGTGACGTTCGTTACGGACGCCCCGACTATCGATCTTTTTTCATAGGTTTGAAAGGAATATCAATCGATAGATCGCAAATCATGCCGCGCCACTGGCGCCACTGATAACTATTTCGGATTTAGCCTTAGCGTCACGTCGCAGTAGCCTCGTGCACGGAGGCTTTGAATATTTTCTCCTTCGAATAAATTAATAGGGGACGAGAAGGGACGTAACAATCAGTCTAGCTGTCTGCGTTACTCATGGCTCCCAATATTATGAATAGGTTTCAACCCCCGAGTCTCGTATTCAGTAAGTTTTACGCTCAAGCATTTTGCTGCCTCGTCTCACACCATTCGTACCTCCGCTTTCGCAGATCCTATTCGCCTCCTTTCTCGCGCCTTTCATAAGTATTTCTATCTTCTCTTTTTCTACATGAGATTCTTCAAAATCATCGTATTATCCAACGCTACCCTGTAAATTTAATGCAATTCGTTTAGTTTTAGTTTTAAACCATGCAGATAAATACAGGGAAATACTTGTAGTAGTTACGTTATACTTAAATAAAATTCCTTCAAAAAAAAAAAAAAAAAAAAAAAAACAAATAGTATCAAGTATACTGATGGCAGAAGCTTCGAAAAAAAAAGATTCTTCAACTGAGTAAAATGTCATTCAGCACGCACTTTACGTACAAAAACATTTGCTTTCAGTATGATTATGTTCAACAAGTCGATTGATAAATGAGATAAAATAATGGAGGACCCTGGTAAAAATTGGCAGTAGAATCTGTGTTCCAAAATACCATAGACCTACAGCCGCCGGCTGTAAGACTTCCAATAGCTTCTATAGCCGGCTACACAATTTCTTATAGCCTTTTATAGCCGATGGCGATGAAGCAACAGCCAGGCGATAAAGTTTATGCTAAACGTTACTAAATACGGATACTAGGACTTGGTGAGTTTTTGGAATACTGCTCTTTTTTTGGGCCGTAGTATCTTGATTTATTTTGCGAAGAAAGCTCCGTACTTTTGATGGATGCCTGCCTTCACTAATATATTAGAGCGCCTTCAGTTTCGTATGATACTGTGCAATACCTCTGGTGTGAAATAGTTGCTTCAAGCGCCGTGGCAGGCGGGCAGCCAGCGCGAAGCACGCATTGGCGCCTACAAACCCAACAGGGATACTTCACGCGTTGCGCAATGCGTGAAGTATCCCTGTTAGGTTTGTAGGCGCCAGTGCGTCGCCGCTCCGCTTTGTGTTAGGCTTCAATATTTAATCTGGCGGAGTCAGCGTTATTCAACTCATGATTTTGAAATGTTTGCACATCCTGTATGGATTATTCTCATTTTAATTGATGAAAAAAAATATGTATTAAAGGAAAATATAATGTGTGTTTTGTAAATATTACAAGGTGGTTCCGTATCAAACTTAATGATTTCCAAAGCGAATTTCTACACAATTTCTTATAGCCTTTTATAATCAATGGCGAAAAAGCAACAGCCAGGCGATAAAGTGTAAAGCCCGGCGATAGGAACTATAGCCCGGCTACATAATTTTTTATCGCTTCGTATAGCCCGGCCGTATGATTTTCTCCGCACTCTACAGCCAGATATATGATTTTCTGTAGCCTTCTTTAGCCGGCTGTAAGAATTCCTATGGTATTTTGAAACGCAGCTCTTATCGCCAATTTTTACCAGGGGAGGCTAGAAATCGATAAACCTTATGTGTTTTTTTCTTCTTCTTTGTTACCCCAAATAATTTTTCGCTCTCCCTAGAATGGCGTTGCCTATGAAAAGGCAAAATTAAAAGCGAGCCTCTCGTTGACGACATTTGCCCATTGGTTTAGGCTTTGCCTTTCCGCTTTATTGAATTATATGCGGCGAGATTTACGCGTGTTTTTGAAGAGACAACTATTTTAAGTGTATATACCACTCCCTGGCATGCTTGTCGCCTCTGCAGTATTTTGAAGGCAAAGTTTTAAATTACAGTACTTATGTATCAACAGGCCCAATACATCGTTTGTCATTTAAGTAAACGCGTAATTTTTTAAGCTTTTCCAAAACCGCTGGAAGAATCGCGCATTCCCCGCCACATCGAGATGACAATCGCGCTATTATACACTTCTGTATAAAATCGGTTGAAAATCGCGCATTCGCCGCGATATTGAAATGAAACATGTAATTTTTTTATTTTTAAAAAACCGCCGGGAAAATCGCGTGATTGCCGAGATACCCACTCGGATGAAAATCATGTATCTCGTATGTTTTTACAAAACCGCTGGAAAAATCACGCATTTTTTAATGTTTGCGGAAATTTGCAT